GAGTACTCCGTCTGACCGCAGAACAGGGAAAACAGAGAAGAACTGATTTCAATAGCACAGCCAATGGTAACTTCTGCTTCTGTGGAAAATTACAATCCCATCTTATGATCTGATGTAGCAGGATCCCAACTTGTTTTTCTCTAAAATATCTATTTTTCCTCTGCCTTTTATATAAAAAGATACCGCTATTACTCAAGTGTTTTCCACTGGGCTTATAATAAAAAGTACCTTTTACAATCAGAAAGCCCCAAACAAGTTTCAAGTTCAAAAGTTTACTGCTGTTCATCTTAAAGATTTAAGAAAGCTCTTGGAACTGTCTTTCAGCTTCAATGATTTATCATACGCTTGGAAGACAGAAACCTTTATAGGGTTTACTGACACCTTTTTATGCAACTACTGTATTTAACCACGATGATACTGACTTGCACTGAGAAAAAGCACCTTCCTGTCAGCAACCTGACCAAAGTTTTATACAAAAATACTGTCCTGTAACAAGTGTTTACATAAATCTTAATGGAATTTAACATTTTTCAAATTACTTATGCTATCTTTACCTATGCAGCAGGTGACTGATAGGAGAGACATCACCCGTGGCCTAGGAAGTTTACAAGCAAAATCCCATTGTCAATAACATAGAAGATTTATATTAAAAAATCATGAGGCTGAGATGAACAAAAGTTAGAGCAGCAACACACTCAGAACTGCTTCTGAAATTCTTGAATATCTTGCATGTAACTTCTTAAATGTGCAATTAAAATGCTTGTCCAAATAACTAGTAGTTGGGGGGGGAAGATGCTTTATTTTGGTGAGGGGTTTTTATTTTTTGATAAGTGGAAGGAAGCAGACCCGGCGTTACCTACAGAGCGTAAAAAGGTTCTTGGCAGCCCAGCACCAGGACACATGGCACGCTCTTCCACCCATGCTCAGGGCTGTGAAGAACAACTCTTTTGACACACATCCCAAAGGAAGAGCAAACACCAAGTCATCACATCAAAACAGGATTTTGATGAGGAACAATTAGGTGTTGCCAGGTTCCTAACCCACACAGAGCACAACCTGGGTTTATGGTTGGGGAGTTCCATACACACCCTCATGATCTTTGAGAAAAGAAACAGGAAGCCATCAGCAAGAAGGCTGGCAGCCATCAGGCAGAGCAGACACCAGGGTGAACACAGGGCTGTCATGAGTGTCACAGGGTAACTGCTTACTGTGCCACCCATCCCAGAAGACTAACCACTTGTGTGCAGTCCTTGTGCTACTTCTACTGAGTTGTGGGAGGTCCATGGGATTAAAGAGCTATCTCTGTTGCAAAAGCCTCTCTCATGTGCCTTTACTACTTCAAGACCAGATCCCATTCATAACATGGTTTTGGTGAAGATCTCAAGTCTGCAGAAAGCTGCAGAAAGCTACAGAGAACTAAAGGAACTGCAGTGTATGGCTCCAGAATAGGTCCCTAACTTCCTCTTATCCTACGAATACAACAGTTTAGAGTCTACATCATGTTTTTTCATTATTTCCCTTAAGATGAATAGGAATAGAAAACTTTAAGGAGCTAGATTTTAATCCTTTAAGCCCTGAGCAGAAAGCCTAAAGCAGAGTTCACCTTCAAACAGGCTAAGTCCAAGTGAAGAAGCTGATGTTTCTGCTGCAACACTTTCAATGTTCTTCTCAACATTGTGGAGGAAGGTGGGGTTTTTTTGTTCTGTTCTGTTTTTTAACTACCACAAATACCAAAGGTCAATACTGAAAGTGAGGCTGGAGACAGCACTGACGAAAAGGAAACGAGGATAGGGAAGTGTGAACTCTAATTAGAACAGAACAAGTCAGCTCTCCAACTCACGGATCATGAAAAGTCCTGTCTGCTCCAACACCTCTGGCGGGACAGCAAGAGCAGGAAATGTTCATGGTTGCAGCTGACCACACGGCTTGTTCACGTCGTCCCCAGAAGAACCCCACGTACACAACCCCAACGTCTGCTAACCACAGTGGTAAACCTCATCTAACGCAGAGCTCTTGGCAGCCCCTGTGAGGCAGGTGAACCACGACCCCTCCAGAGGGAGCAGAGTAGCCGAGAAACGCAGTCTTAGTGAGGAGCAGCACCTAAAGCTTGCCTCCAAACAGGGAGCTGTTGTGCTGTCATTTAATCACCTATTAAAATCACCTGGTTTTTGAACATTCACGTTTGACAAGTTTCATCTTAAAAATATAAACAGGTAATTTCATACATCTGAAGATACTGGGTATATTTTTAAAGCACTAAGGCATATTGATAATCAAACTTGAAACCTTTTGGACCTATTTATTTTTTAACCCTTTAGTCTGAAGACTTTGACCAGCAATACAAATTGACTCTTTACTTCCATAGACTACCCTGACTCTTTACTTCCATAGACTACCCACAAAAAAATTCAGTTCTCAAGCATTTACTTGTGAGGAAAAAAAGCCATTTCTGCTGTAGAGATGTGAGTACATTCACCTGAAACAGTGTCTGTTTCTAAACATTAAGATGTTCTCTATGTCCTAGAGGTGGTTGAGACTTGCTGAAGCCTAGGAGTGCCTGCTGAGACTCTTCAGACCCTTAAGTCACTTTTATCGCATTTCTAAGAGGAACTCTGGTGTTCAGCAAGAATTCAGCTTTTTCTCAGAGTGGAAGCTTTTCTTCTCTTTTTATGTCTGCCATTTCCTAAAAGCAGCAAGAACTCAATTGGTCTACTACCTCCACATCCTTGTCAAATTTGGCCAGTGTTTTTGGCATATTAAAGCTGTGGTGTGGAAAAGAACAACTGAGGCTAGTATGACAGAGAAAACCTTGTTTCTTTATGAAAGCAGGCTAAAACCATTGAGAGCTAGAGAAAACCTACAGCCTCAGCAGCACTCTCCCAAACTGGATCTTCTCAGTGACATCCAGTGATAGGACAAGGGTCAATGGGTACCAGCTGGATCATAGGTGGTTTCAGGTATACATAAGGAAAAACTTCTTCACAGTGACAGAGCACTGGAACAAGCTGTCCAGAGAAGTTGTGGAGTCTCTTCTGGAGACATTCAAAACCCATCTGGATGTGTTCCGGCGTGACCTGCTCTGGCAAGGGGGTTGAACTAGATGATCTTTCAAGGCCCCTTCCAATTCCTAACGTTCTGTGATCATATCCTGGCCTAGTACAGTTCTTTGGAAGCCTTCTTATGCCCAGATTGAAGAAACTTTCTTGACAAGGAAAAGTGAGTAGTTCTGAGCCCCAGGCTCTGCTGCCAGACTCCCAGGAGCAGCATTCCTGTTTACTCCTCCTCTGGGACAGAGGGCCCTGCACGCTTGCTCAGACTCTGCAAGGATGGCACTGGCCCCTGGCAAGTGCCCAGCGGCTTAGGAACGTTCTGTCAGGAGACAGGGTAGATGCTGCTGGAAGGCACATTCCTGTACACAATGCCCTCTTCATCCCCGCTCCCTGGGGTCTGGGCACTCTAGGCATCTGGCCTGGTCTGCTCAGTCAGAATTTTTGTGCCACAGAGTAAAGAGCTGCTTTTGTTCCTTTAGTACCAGCCTTCCCCTTGGAGCTTCTTAATCAGAAGTTCACTTTCTGCATACAGTCCATCCAAACGCTCTGGCCAGGCACAGCTACTGGCCCTCCAGGACAGACTCATTTGCAGCCACCTTTCTTGGCTGCCCTGAATTTCAGATGTAGTCTTTGTCCCGCAAATCACACTGATACTGAGGGTATCAAGGTATGAGATGTATCTTACGACATCTCACAATCAGACACTACAGCAAGTATTACAGAAAAAAACACAATCACAAAACAAAACAAAACAAGTTACATTTATTCATCAAAGCAGACTGCCTGTGAGCCATCACACATTCCATGGAGGGGAAGACAAGAGAAATACTATTCCTCATGTCTCTCCACCTCTCCTAACAATGCAAGATCTCTCCTCCTCTGGAGGAGGAGGACATACATGCTCTTAAAGTGTATGCATGCCAGCTAACACAGTTTAAATGGTGAGGAGCAAGCAAGGTATTTAAGAACCTGCCGACTTTCAAGAAGACCCAAGTTCTGGTATCATGACCTGCCTTCCGCTGTAGATGAAGAGTTATTAACTGACCTAATTTTGCCACAGAAGCTGAAAATTAATCCCATCTAGGTTTGGCAAATACAATGCAAGTTACAAATTTTGCTTTTCTGCTAATCTTGCTAATAGCAACTTTCTTCTTCCTTACACACCCAAAATAACCTGCCTGACATGAGAGCAGCTGGATCCCCCTGACACTACAGAGGCCAGATCTTTAACAGACAGGCCTGCAGACAGGCCAAGTATCAAGCCCATCTCTGTTCTGGGAGGTGTCCTCCAGCAATGCCACACAGCCAAGCCACCTGTAAGTAAGTGAGCAAGTAAGTGCAAGTGCCCCAGCATGGTCCAGCCCTTCCATGGCCCTTGCAAGCAGTGCAGCCCTGCTGCAGTGCCTCTCACCACTGCTGCACAGGTGGCCAGCAAACAGAGCTGGTGGGACCAAGCACCTAATTTTAAAGGAAGGAAAAAAGAGGTCTGCGTATTCATATACAAACGGTACCTGCCAACTCTCTGGAAGGAATGTGTACAGCGCATTTCTGTCTCCCCAGGTCTTCTAATCACACTCATTACCATAGCATCTGAAAGTGCTGAAAGGTAAACACAACCTCCTTATAGAAAGGACGTCTGTCCTGCAAGTCTCTTCAGAGTAGAGAAGGGCAATTCACTTACTAGTGCATGCTTTTGTTTCCAAGAAGCTTTAGAAAACATTCCTTATCCGAGGCTCAAATAATTTGACTGATGTGAAATATTTTATTGAAACCACCTTTTTGGAATCAAGGCTTACTCTGACAGTCATACATTGGGCATTCATAGAATTGTAAGGCCAACCTGCCAACAGAAGGCAATCACTTCTATCCAGTGGCTGCACATCCATTTGAGAGAGTGCTGAAAATGCTGAAGAAAACATATTTTTAGTTCCTTTCTCTTTTCTTTGTCCTTCATCTATACTTGGACCTCTCTTTGTCTTTTGATTTCTTAGGACTTCTGCTTCTGTCTGCTTTCCTCTCCCAGTCTCGGAAGTCGTCTCTGTGTTTGTCCTTCTGCCTGCTGTGAGCATGGTCTCTCTCTTGAGACCGGCTGCGGCTCCGGTGCCTGTCTTTCTTCTCGCTCTTTGCCTTCTCCCTGCTTCCTTCTCCTTCATGTTTTCCATCCAAACCCTGTTAAAGGAATGGGAAGACATGCAGTTATGGACGAAAGGGGAAAGCACACAAAGGCATGAAGAGGACTGATCAAGCATGGTTGGTTCCTTTTCTAAGGCTGGCACTACCTGAAACAGATTCACATCCAGGACGATCTGAAAAAGGTAAAACAAAAAAAAAACCCACCGTATCTGTAAAAGTAAGTCTACAGCTTTTGCCAGCATTTATGGAAAAAAGTATGGCTGCCAGGCCTGCTACTGCTTGTACTTCTTAAGGACCTTTAGCAAAAATGAGTTGTATCAGATATTCAACTCAGATGGATACTATTGAGCTCTTCATAAGCAATTCAAATCCATGCAAGCTGGATTTGAATTTTGACTTTTTATCTAAGCAATGCAACTATTCCAGTCACAGGTTCCACTTCCAGCCCCACAGGCACTCCAGTGCTATGAAGATGCAGGACACTTTTTAAGATCTGCCCGTAATAATCTTTAATGGCCTAAATTCTAGGCTTCAGAAAAATGAACAACACTGTTACAGAGAGCAACTACACACATGCAAACTGCCTTTAGAATGACACAGCTAATGCTGAAATACCAGGGCTATGATAAGCAACATAAATCCCCTGGGAACAATACACACATCAGTAACCACAGATTTGACCTCTGCCTACATAACCAAAAATTTCTGCCACTGCTGGGTACAGTAATCTCACTGGTGGCCAAATGTTTATTCCATATCTTTACTGTGAAATTTTATTTCAGTACAGACTTTAAAATCTAAATCCACCAAAAAGAAGTGGTGCTTTCAGCTATTTCTAAGTGCTTTGTCCATTCCACTTCAGAAGAGCCATGTTACTCTTGTACCCAAAAGTCTCAGCCTCCATATGTTTGAGCAAGAAGACAAGCAGCTTGCTGAAAGGATTAAACAAAAGTCAATGAGCACGGAGCCAGCTAAGCACAGTGACCTTCACAGAAGCATTTTAGGTACAGGCATGCAGGGCAAGTCTGAAAGTGCCACAAAAAGGTCACCACAGTAGCTAATATAATCACAATGTAAAGAAAAACAAATGTAGTAATATGAATTAACAGAATTAATTGCATCTTACTTCCCTCCTCAAATCAGTTATATTTCCCCTTAATAAGATTTTACCTTTCTAAAGTCTTTAGCATAGAAAACGGCCCATTTTTTAAACACACTAAAATACTAAAAATGACAGTATACTGAAATAAAATCTGTTATGCCCTATGCAAGCCAGAAACATGGTGTTTTCCCATTGGAAGAGGAAGAAAAAAATCCTACTTAAAAACGGGCTCTCTCTTACTGGTGAAGTCCAGATCCCTGGATCCAGGAACACAGCCTCTCATCAGCCAATGATTAAGTGATGATCACCCCAACCCCTAATCCAGCACTGTGCTAGTAAACACACATAAAGAAGGAAATATGGAAAGAGGGAAAGACACTTCTCTGAAAGTTGGCTGGCTTTGCCAAAATTACTACCTTGCCCAACAGCAGTTTCAGGTAATTCAGCTAGAAATATGATGACTACAAAAGTAGAATAAATATGCCACCTAAATACACATTAAACACACAAGTTAAAGGTTAAAAGGAGCAAACGAGTAGGCAGAGCCTTTTCAGGATGGACATTTTCATCAAACTGAATGACCCTGAATATAAAGTGAATAAGTGTCCAATAAGCAGTAAGAGCAGGAAATTAAAACTAGAAAAATCAGTTTTCTCTGCCAAAACCATGTGCTACAGAAACACAAAAGTCAGAAAGTCCCTGTCTAACAAAAATCCATTGGATAGGCTATACCCCTCCAAAGAGATTCTCACCTGAAAAAATAACCAAAAATAAAAAATAAATCCAAGGAACAAAAAAACACAGAGAAAACTGGAAAGGCATCACAGTCATAATACAAATCTCAAGCTGAAGCATGGAAGCATGACCTGTATTCAAAAAAAGACTCTACCAAATTCTACTCATAAACCCACAAGGTAGAACAGTCTCTTGCTCCACACCCACATCCTGTTACCTACTAAAAGCAAGCCACAGCACTGTACCTCTTCTGCCCTCTGGAATCAAGTCAAACAGTGTAAGATTCAAAAATATATTCTTAAAACATCAACACAGAGGCTGAAGATTCGGGAAACGGGTGTCAAACTAAGAAAAGAATGAGTCAAAATATACTATAAGAAAAAGAAAAAAAAATCAAACCAGCAAGAGAACTGAAAAACAACTCAACATCATGGAAACTATTCGGAAAATAAAATGCCTTCAAGTCATAGCTGGAGCTGGCAGCACAAACTGCAGTTTCAGTTGCCAGAACTTCCCATTATAAGACCTCATTCTCTGTTAATTAAAATCCCTGCCACACTAGGTGCTCAGGATGGAAGTTTATGTGTGAAGCATGTCTATTGTGGTCTTTGGTCCATCAGTTGTGGAAGGTCTGGTGATGTTTTGGTTTAAAGGTCTTACCTCAAATATACTCTGCTTTTTCCAAATCGTGTTAAGGGAAAATGCCTTGTTTGTCTATACTAAAAATGCTACCATTCATCAAAAATTTTCCATACTGTTATGCTTTGTGCTGGCCTCTGTGTTCACACTGAACATACTGTGCCTCAAGAACATGCTTCCTGGCCCTATCCTTGTACAAGTTTCCCAGGTTATGTTCAAATTATAAATCAAAAAATAACAAAAAAAAAAAAATTACAAAGATTCCATTTTCTACACGCTAAACAGGATTTATCAGCTATGTTGCCTGCAGGTTTCATTTGGAAAGGGCCATGCCCAAGACACTGAATCACTAAATGAGACTGAGTACACTGCCCTGTATGTACATAGTATACAGCACACAGTAATGAGAATATTCAAGTGCAGACACATTAAAATTCTCCACAGAAAATTGTTTTCAGAGCTCTGAAAAGGATCTGCATTGCTTGCCATCAGAGAATAGAAGTAAGCCTCCATCTGTGATTTTGGGCATGAGAAGGCTAAGCTATTTACACTCAAAGAGGTAAAGGTGAGCAACAGAGAGGAAATCAGTGGGAAAGAAGATAGCAGAATACAATGGCAATAGACTGCTGGAAAACACCACAATAGGTACAGACTACTAAATCACAAAAAGATGTAGAGTCAAGCACTAGAAAATACTCTTTTCCAGAACCTGGAAATAGCACCAGGAATCCCTCTGTCCTCCTGTTTTCACACTATGACATCCACTACTGATGTGTCTCCCAGTCCCCCTGTAACAATCCTAACAGAGGTCAGCAGCCAGTTGCTGCCAGTACCTGCTGCACCACCCGCAGCGGTGGAGGCAGATGAATGATTTAAAATGTTCCCTGCTGGTAATGTGTGATCAGCCAGTGCCACACATGTCATTCCTGAACCATCAAAACTAAAGATTACTGACAGAAATATGTGTTTCAAAAATGTTAAAAACTATGTCAATCAGCCAAAAAGACAGGAGGCAGTCTAAACCAACCTTATTCCAGATCTCTTGTATGTATATGCTCCAATCAGGATTTTAATTATCGGAAGAAGGTCGTGCCCCCCCCGCCAGAGGATCACGACTGAGTTAGTGTAAGAAAAAAGACAAAAAGACTTGTACCACGAATGAGCAATAACGCTCACTGGGGGGACCGAAAATAATTTAATTGCTCATTTGCATAAGGAAAGCTATTTTTACCATCACAGCAACAAGTGATGCAATGGAACGAGAGCATCGCGTATGCTCTCTGCACGCAGAACTTAAAACTGTACTCAAAACTCAGGCCAGGACAATGGCTGGAACCTTATCGCCTTCTGCAAAGTTGCTAGGAGGCAGCTTTGTTCTCACTCATAAAGCTTGCACTGTTAAAATATTGAGGTTTGTGTTTTTTCAGCATAGCTCAATTCTTCCTAGCACTCACACTTCAATGGTGGTTGACCCTCCACTTTGTCATTACAGAAGTTTCTTCCATCAAACATCACCATCTTGACTACCCCAGCTTCACAGAATGTGAGAAGCTGACCTGTCAGGCAGCAGTGAACTAACAGATGACAGCCCTGCTGCCTCTGACGACCTCCTCCACAGCCACACGTCTTACAGCACTGCATGCTTCCACAACATGGATGCGACCAAACCTGCATGCAGATTTTACACAAATGCCTCCAGAACAGTTAAGGAAAAATTAAAAAAGATAATGCAAAGAAACTGCATTTCCAATTCCATAAGCAAAAAAGCCAACACACGTTGGTCTGGCAAGAACATGAGAAACAGCTTGTATTCAAGAAATATGTTTAACTACTAGTTTATGACTGGGAATATGTAGAACAACAGGTTCAAAGTGCTGAAGATCTCCTACTTTATGAGAGGCTACATTGGCTCTTCAGGATGTTTTGGCAAAAAGCCATTAAGACATGCCAAGCTTCAAAAGTCAAGAAGACAGGGAAAGCCCCTTTCATAATCAGATACTAACATCAGCATTCTGTACGTTTACAACTGCTGTGTTTTATGGGACTTTGCACACTGTGTCCTCAGTTCAAGATCAGATTTTTTTTTCTGGCTTCTATTAGGAGCAAAATAAACAGGTACAAAGTTAATGCATGAAGAGGTACATACCTTAGATTTTTTTGTCCTCCTGTCATCCTCTTCATCTTCAGAATGGTGGTGCTTTTTCTTTTTCTGTTTTTTAGCCAAGTGTGACTGACTTGTTCGAGACTCTTCTACATCCTCATCCAGCACAAGGTCATACTTGGCACTGATAGTGTTGGTTAAGGGCACATCTGTTACTTCATATCAATAAACAATAGAACATATAAGCTCGTGAAGCAAACAAATCCCTTGTTTATGGGACCAGGTTTACCAAGACTTACCATGTATTTCATTCAGAGCAGCATCGTACACATTGAAAAAAAATGTCAGCTGTGCTAAAATGACTGAATTCTGTCCTATCAAACAGAGCAGGCAGGTCCCCATTCTCCTTTTTCTTCTACCTGTGGATATATGAATACGCTACGGTCTTCTTTTCTCTCAGGCTCACCACAAGCAAAGCATCATCTCAATGCATGATTTAGTTACTGCTACGGTCTCATTTTGGATGCAGCAGGTCCCCCCTGACACTACTTAAAACTGCCATCCCATACATCGTTCCAGGGCTGTAGACTGGGAACATTATTTACCTGCACACAACACAGAAGTGAAACAGCACATTCTGATTTGGCTAAAGTCATTGAAGTCATCAAATGAAGAAGGCGAAATGCTTAATTCCCTCTCAAACATCAAACGTTATATGAGGCAGCAGCAAACAGCAAAGCATTTGGCAAGCTTTAAGAATAAGAAGTCTTTTCCAGGCTGAACTATACTTAGTTCAAAAAAATACCTTTGACAAGAAAAGGATACTCCTGCTTCGGTTTTGCCTTCTCTTTCAGAGCAAGTTTTGAAGGTCTGTCACGTTCTTTTTCATACTCTTTGAAATCATCCTTGGTATACCGCCCACCTGTCCACAGAAAAATACATTCAATTCCCTCCAAGTAAAAAACAAAAAAACCCAACAAAACAAAACAAACAACTAAGACCCACACCTATCATTAAGTTCTTCTGAATTTAAGGGCTCTTCCTAACCATACAGAGATGCATAGCAAGATACAGTTCCAGTTACTCGGGATAACACAGTAGAGCAGAGTAGGACAAGTTGTGATTTTCTGTCCTTCTCTTGCTTGCAGATTCTATTAAACAACATAAGGCTTTCTCCTCTTTAACGGCCAGTGGAGACAACACACGGGCAGGATGACAAAAGAGGATTCAGCAACTGTTTTAGTCCCACTTTGATTACAGGTCCTATATCACACTACCTAAAATTCTGTTACCATGAAAGCCTACAGACTATTCTAACTATTGAGTAACTTTTTGCTCTGTGCTGCACAAAGGGAAATTTGAGACAGCTAGAGCTTAAGAACTCAAATGGAATACTATTAAAAAAAAAATTTGTCGTGTCTCGATTTAAAAAGGAACAAGACAGATTTCATTTTTCACCCATTCACTTGAAAGTACCAGCTCCAAGATGAATAAGCTGTTCTACGGTAACATGCTGCCCTCTCACGGACATACTTCAAACTGCAACATTAACTGGCTAGGTCAAAAACGGCTACTGGAAGTGGAATGACACAGCTTCCCCTAGGTCGTTTTCTGGGCACCATCTAAGTACAATAAGATAACAACATAGTCAACTTTCAAGCATTTATGACAATTTAGACCTAAATCGCCCAGATCAATAAAAGTTTTCCATGTAGTCAGTTAGTACAGGATGCACTGCAGAGCATAATATAATTACAAACCCATCTCAACTCTCTTCAGGACAAGTTCTAGTACCTCAGTGTCCATGACTAGTGCCCAGACAGGGGAAATCACACGCAAACAACTGAGGGCTGACTGTGTTTTTAGGTGAAGACACACAAGAACACCACCACTGCCAAGTACAGTTACCTGCTCAAGTCCCATGTTTTCCTCACGTCCCCAGGAACCAAACCACCAACTCTCCCACAATCTTTTTCTCCCAAAACATCCCCAAATATCTGAAAATGGCGTTTTATAACATACCACTTGTTGCGCAACATGTTTGACCGACAGGAGGTGAAGAGGGGAAATCCCTGGCCTGAATACTGACTTTTTGTTGTATACATACAACTGTCATACAGTGAATAAAGAAACTAGAAAAAAACAATGTACTGCCATGTTGTTTTGCTAACAAGTAATATAAAAACCCCATCATTTTTAAAGCTTGAGAGGAACAAATTCTTTGGTGGCAAAAATACATCCAATAAAAAGGTAATTCATGGCCATGTAACATTAGTATAACAGTAGTAAACTCTTCTACTTCTATGGAACAAGTGAAGAGGAGAGCTAGGACTTGCATTGTCCTAGCTATTCCTATTTATTACAGTACCAGGAAACTATATATACTTGAAGATGAGATGACCTGAACTCGTAACAACTGTTTGTCTTTATAGAATACTGAACAGTTTCAAGTTGTGGCGTATTAAGTTATGAAGGCCAAAAAAATCACAGGCATACCGACCTTTGCCCTTCCACTTAATCTTTGCAACAGACTGGCTAAAATCCACATGTATCCGTCTGTCATCTATCAGCACGTTGTCCATTTTGAAGTAGGCTTTCTCACAGTCCTCCTCCTGATATCAGTGTTTCCAAAAAAATTTTAGTCATCATTATTTCATAGGAATATTAACTGAAGAGCTCAAACACAAACTGCTTAACAGCATACTTTTTTTTCCCTAAAATTGCCTGAAGCATAGCAGTTCTTGCATTGTACCATTTCAAAAGAAATAGCTACGCTTTGCCCAAATGTCAGCATTTCTCACTCCAATTCTTCAGCTCATGTCACTATTTTAAAAATTTGCCAGTTCATACATAATACACTCAAAATAAAGGATAACAACTAATAAAAGCTCCGTTTTAAGTACATAAGTAGGCTAAAGAAAAATGAGAACACTTTTCCAATGTTTTCCACTCTTCCTCACAGATCAGAGAGATCAGCAGATACAAACAAGAAGCTATGCAACATCAAGAGAACTTCTACTATCAATCTCACAGTAAGAGCAGCATGCTGGTGAAGCAAGCATCCCTTACAAGCCCAACAGAGGACACTACTGTACATGATGATCCACCTTCTCTCATACAGCCTCCTCTTGAAGCATGCCTCTCTTCTCTCCTAGCATTGTTCTTTAATTCTTCAAAGTCTTAATGTCCTCTCAGGGGAAAAAAGGGGCCTCCTCCCTCTCACAGGTTTCAAGACAACCCAGGAAAAATGTATTTTCATTGCTTAATTGAATAGAGAAATATTTAAATGTTCACCTTATTTAGGACCTACAACTTCTATAATGAGGTCAGTAAGAGAAAATATTATCTATTTCACACTTGAAGATTTCAGTGTTTTTCCTCAATGGAAGTCCAACAAAACCAAACTTTTATAAGCAGAATCTACATAGAGTATACCTAAACCTCATACCTTTTCAAACTCAATGAAAGCATAACAAAGAGATTCACCAGTCTTCCAGTCTCGAATCACTTCACAGCTGAAAATTTGAAATTAAATTAAAATGTCAATACTGTTTTGGAGAAAAAAATGTATTATAGGCAAACATTGCTTAAAAGGGAGCTTAACAGTTAATAACACAAAAACAACAAAGAAAACTTGAATGTATTGTGAGGGTGTCTACACAGAAAAAATTAAAGTGTTATCACTTAAGTAGTTATTACACTTAAGTCACAAGTGGCTAATATGAAGTGTAGAACAAGGGATGAATTTCTGATGAGTGAAATAAAACCTGTGCTCCAATATTACCGTTTGTTATTCATTTTTTGCATTTCACTAATGCAGGACAAGAAATTTCATGTTCTGTTTTCTCAGTCACTTTAAGGAAAGTTTAAAGAGATGTCATATGACAAACCTTCTCTTCTTCGCAAGCACCTCTTCAGCAGCCATCTTCTTATCAGGCAGTTAGTTTACTGGGCAAAACGAAGAAGCCCGAAGTATTGAATTGGGTGTAAAATGGGAACAATAGAGCATTGCATCAGTATGACAAAACTCTTGCATAAGACATGAGAATCCTGACTATACAACGTTGAAGGATGCCAGACAGGTAACAAGGCAGGGAAATGTGGTATTAACGTGAGACCTACTGAGGTCAGACCTCCCCCATGTATGCTGAGAAAGTGCAAAACAGGATTAAGATACACAATTCAAAAGATGATCAAGAAAAAAAAAAAAATGTGTGGGGGGAAGAGAAAGAAAGAAAACCAAAACAGAAGTCATGGCTATTTAGAGAAGCTATAGGAATTCTTTCCAGCAGCCATCAGTGAGGAAGAAGGCTGGACAGTTTTGTTTCAGAACCCTCCATGAATTATTCAGAGAATCTATCTGAAAGCAGAAGGACTACAGAACAAGTACTGAACAAAATGATAGAGGAAAAAGAAAAGACCAAACGAAAACCCTATGACATCCAGAAACCACACTGAGGTTGTAAGAGTGGCAAGCAATACCCATTTCACTCACATATGCAGACACAGAGACAGGCTAGTGAAGGACACAGGAGTCTGCAGGCCTGTATGCTGTCCCTGCACAAACGGGAGGAAACAATGCAGAACAGAGTTAGTGTGCATCTGAATAAAGAGGACACACTCAGGTCCATCTGAAAAAAACTAAGAGAGGTTCTCTGGAAGAGTCAATATGCTTATGTGTGATGATGATCCACAGCCTGATGCAGTCTTTTGAAATCCCTCTGGAAATTCTAATCAACTCCTGCACCAAAGTCCCTTGGGGAAACTAAGCAGCAGTGGCTTAAGAAGCATCTCTGCGTAGACAAATGTGTGAAAGATCAGGTAAGAGTAAACAGTCACTTCTAACTGAGAAAGTAAAGAGGTCACCACTGGAGTCTGTTGATGATATTAAATTGTAAAAGTAGCAAAAATAAAGATGGAAAAAAATTGTATGAAGTTCTTCCAAGAGCAATTGAACAATGAGACAGAAAATTATATTCAACATACAGAAACGCAACAGCAAGGGGTGGGAATTCTAACTGTGCACTGTAAAAAAGAGAGAGAAAATAGCTTTAACATTCACTAGAAAAGGAGTTGAGAGCAAAGCAGGGAATATCACTGCATCACTGGAAATCTGTGATTTCTATAATACCATGGTCCTCTAAAGATGAAAACAAAAGACCTGAAAAAGGTTGAGGAAAGGGAAACAAGGGAAACTCCTCTACAAAGCCTGAGTATGTAGGCTAGTATTTTTAGGAAGAAAAAAAGATGACATTGAGGTACAGGATAGAGAGGAGTATGAAATAAGTTTCACTGCCCATGTCTCGTGATACCAGTACCAGGAGGAATCAGCTGAAACTACTAGAAGCCAAGTTCAAAGCTGAAAAATGTAGCAGGCATAAGGAACACCTTAACAAGGAGGGTTTCAGATGCCAGAATCATTTGTCGCTTTGTTCCAAACCATACATATTCCCATGGAAAAGAAAGACCCAGAGATTTTATCCAGCTGATGTAGCATCTGAGATAAAAACTGCTGGAAGGAGGAAGAGGATGGGGAGCTGGGGAGAGTACCACATGCTTGCCTTGTTAAAATGCCTGCTGGGACAGGATACTAATCTAGTTAGATCCGACTTCATGTCACCACTGCTGTGGCCTCTATCCAAATATATGCAGGCACAGCATAAATCTCCAGAGACATCTGAATATTACTTAACAGCCAAACCTAAACAGACTGGCAAGAATCAAGCTCAGTTTCAACAAAGAAAGGTGGGGGTTTTTTTGTATTTTACAATTATTACCTTTTAATGGGACCAAATCGTGAAAATATTATCTCTAGGTCTTCATCTGTGGTCACAGGATTCAGTTTACAAACAAACAGCACATTCTCTGGTGGCTTGATCTCTGCATCTGGCAAATCTCCTACCTGTGGCATACAGAAAAAGACTTTAATCACTTCTGTCTAAAGCTCTCTACATTTTTTGCCACAAGCACACTGGCAACACATCTTTTGGATGATCTCAGACACATTTCTATCACAAGAACAAAAATTAATAAAACATTTTTCCTACTCAATGTCACAAAAACAAGGTCTTCTGTAACACCTAAAAATCACCACCTATTTGCAGTTCCACCACTGGGACTTCATGAAGATCACAAATTCTTTCTGCCTTGCTTTCCCTTTAATAAATACACAGTTCCAAAAGGTGGAAGTGTACTTGTGAGACACGCTTTTCAAATCAGTGGAACTACCAGTACACTTAAATTTTTTCATCTCTTCCCTTACATAGAACACAGCTCCTTACTGCATACTACTGAAGTGCTGGGGTTAAACCCCCAGCCCTGAATGAGGGTTGGCATAGGGATGATGTTCACAACCAGGCAAGAAAGACCTTCCTGACTGGTTCTCACCCAGGGTCTGGCCAGCCTTGGGTGGGAACTGATTAGGACGTCACTACCAGGTGCCCCCACCTTCCACACTAACTTGGAAGTGGGCCAAGAAGCCAATTAGATAAGAACTGGCTCTGCTTGCAGTAGGGTTGGGAGGCTTGTTTACACAGGGGATGTGCTGTGTGGGGATTCTGGTTATCAGACGGACTCCTTGACTATTCATGGCAAGTGGAGTTTCCATGATGGCAGGGCCAGAGCATGGAGCTGTCTCTGACTCCCCACTATATAACTGGGCTCATGGCCTGGCTACTACCACTGCCTGTGACTTTGATCCTCGCTTGGCTTGCTCCCTTCTTCATGTCCACTGTGATGGGTGAGTGCATGGACTGTTCCTCCCTCTAGTTGTCTGGCACTCTGGGTCTCTGGTGTGTGATGTGTTAGTGGAGGGAAGAGTTTGACTGCTGGTCTGCCTGTTAATGATAACAGCATTTTGTGTTGGGCAAGCAATAGGCAGAACTACCTAGCAATACCCAGAGAAAATTACTCCATTGGCTCACACGCTTCACACGCCTTTTTTAGCTAACTAAAGTTTAACTTTATCTGGAAAACAAATAATCAGCCCCATCACTGCTGCAGCAAAACAAGAGCCTACATCTGCAGATCTTCTGCAATGCTGTGGCCACATCTGGATTGAACTTGCTATTAGTCTCTGCTGCATACTGTTCACCACAGATTTGAATTTGGTTTTTGTAAAGAAGTGTGACGGATTCACCCATCCTTCACACACAACAGTGTGTGTACTTTTTTATTTTTTTAAAAAAAAGACTTTAAAGCTTATTCACAATTTTTGTTATTATATTGAGTTTACAACTGCCAGTAGCTACTGAACATTGTATCTAAGAAGAACAAAGTTAAACCATATTCAATCCAACTAATCCCACAGAAGGAAAACTGCCATTACATATGTGAACAACACAACCTCAGTGCTGCTGTGTGTACTGGGAAGAGGTTATCACACATCAGCTCACCTCTCTCCCCCACACACACACACCAAACCTTGTCCAGCATTACAGATATTCAGCAGCATACTATGTATGTTACATTTTTTAACTGGATGCATCTCTAACAAGTTTTTATAAAGCCTTCACTGATCCACTTTTAATCCTGGCTTTGAAAATGAAGCATCACCAGTTTTACCAGGAAACCACTACCAGTGCTCATGCTCGATCCCTTCTACTATACCACAGATGTCTAGTAGCATAGATTCTGAGCCAGGACATCCCCATCAGGTAAGTAATTTCAAGATAAGTAGTACACGTTCTCCTGGACTTAATATAACATGCAGACATACAGAAATAACATCTAAAAGGTAAATATGGAAAGAAATTGACCATTTCCAGAAGAATGGCACGAGTTTTTGCTTCTTTTTCTGCCTGAAATTCTTCTATTTCATCTGTAGATAGTCCTTTCAAGTCATCAATTTCTTCATCTGCTCCTATTCTGCCACTCTGAAAAATTAAGGAAAAAGCTATTTATTACCAAGCCATGGCCAAAATTCTCTCTCACTTTCTAAATATTGCTTAGATGACCTCCCTCCCCACCCTCTAAGACATGAGAAATACTCAAGCACTTCATCCCTGCGGAACTGGGCTTTCATGCTGCTCTTCCCACTTAGATTCAAAAAATAAAGGCAGATGTTATTATCCTTGTGTTTCAGGCACTGTGAACTATGCGTGAAATTTCAGGCCAAATTTGAACCATATTCAGTTAGATATTCTAAATTCTTTTATATGCTCATCTCATACTGAACATCTCACCAAAACTGTCAACTCATTTCTGATCTACATAGCTCTTACTAGAAAAGAAGACAAGGAACATATCTGTGGTGTCTAATAACATTAGATACAGTGCATCACAATAGTTTTACTTTTCACACATTTAGATCTAGACAGGATTTGAGCTTTAATTTTTTTCCCCCTCATCAGCATCTCTAGAATACTGCCTTTCTTACAAACATTTCAGATACATCTGGTGTATCTCCCAGCAGGCTACGGAGAAAGAAAGCTAAGTAGAAGTCTTCAAATCTCTATGCAGTTGGCAGTGACCTGTTAAACTCCTCATACAATTTAACATATCTGAAGGTACATCAGAGATTAACCACAGTGCAGATGTATTATGGAGGCCTAATTCCAATCTTGTAGTTGTATCTATTAAGCTTAAAAATAAACAATATTCTCTCTAGTCCATTTATTCATTGCTTGAAAACAATTTCCATGCAAGGAGATAATCTCACATAGCAAGTTCTAAAATTGTATACTATGAGTAAATTAGGAATAATTACAATTATATTTCTAGCAAACTTGAACAAATACACCACAATATGCACGGCTGCAGATATAACTCAAAAAATGACCAAGACTACTTCCACTGAAACATAGTCTACTTTACATTTATAAGGAAAACAGCAGTAAGCACTTTAATATTAATACATGTTAATTGTATTTTGCCTTCTACCACGGCATCCAAAAACCCAGTAATGTGAAAGAATATTCTAAATGTTCTCCTTATCTACACCATAATCAGAGAACTAAAATATGGCTTTCCAACCTAACACCACTGTAGCCACAAGGGAGCACACCCAGTTCACCCTTTTATCCTTTTCTTGGAAGATTAAGCAGCCATATTTGATTAAACACAGCAATAGCCCTAGGTAACAGACAAGCATTTGACGTAGCAGGACTCAAACTGGTGTAGCAGAAGAGCATCTTTTCTTCTCCTATGCTAAAAATGTGTAGTTCTTTTAGGATCAGGCTTTGCCTGTCAAATCTCTACAAGCAGAATTTTTACTTTGACTAAACCTGTGCTGGCCACTAATAGGGATAGATTTATTTATTTATTTCTTCCAACATTTCCCCAAGAAGATGCCACAAACACTCACGTCTAGCTGTTCCTTAGTAGGCTCTGGTGAGCGATCAGGAACAGACAAGCCAGGTGGATCTTCAAATGGATCATCTAAAATTACCGTATGGTTTATCCTTACAGAAAACAAAATCAAGGCCAGTGTAAGTCTCATGCAGATAAAACTCTTTACCCAAGTAACAGGAAATGAGCCCCCCAGACACTCAGTTATACCTCAAACAGCCCAACATGCCCTATGCTTGTAAACAACTAGCACTGGAGCTCTTGTAAAGCCAACATAGTTGCACATTTTCTTGTTGTTGGATAGTTGTTTATCCTAGTCCTTGCTTATTTTAAGAAAAATCCTTGAATAAAAGAGTATTTAAGACACCATGTACAGGTCACCTGACACAGCTGTATTAAACTACTTTCCAAAAAATATTAATTTAACTATAACAGAGTCCGCAAAAAATGGAAGTTATAAACAGTCGCACCTGATATCCTGATATGGGATAAAATCCTTATCTACAAAGGTTTCATTAATTTTCTTCAACACATCCATGCCTTCTGTCACTTCTCCAAACACTGTATGCACACCATCAAGGTAATCCAAGTTTTCCCCTGTGGTAATGAGAAACTATGGAAGAAGATACAAAACCAGTAAATAGAAAAATTTATGGCTTGGGTTTTACCCTAGAAGAGGTACAACTCTCACTGAATTCAGTTGGAAAAAAAGCCCTCTTCCTGACAAGTGAGGAAGAAGATTAGTCTTCTTCTATCAGCTCTGAGAACATGGTGAGCCAACCTACAGCTCACATTGATTATTTAAAAAAAAAAACATCCTTTTTAAAAATTAAAACATTTGGATATTACAAATAAGGAATTTTAATACATAAAAGTGACAATGCATCTAAAATAGAATAATTTAGAAATAAAATAATTTTATGATATTAGAGCTTTAAATATATCTACAGCAAAAACTTTGTGCACATGAACAGGGACCAGCAAAGGGAATGACACTACTTTCAACAATTTATACCAGCACTGGGATAAAACCGTGAATTTACATTGTACCATTAATGCACACTTTTAGCTAATCATACACTGGAAAACTATGGTATGATTTTAGTTTCCAAACTAACATGAAGTTATAAACAGAAAATTTTAAGATTTCAAAATATCATTACCTAACTTTTCACTTCCATTTAACTACAGGATTTTTTCCTGCCCATTCTATACATTAGCAAAATTACATCAAGGTATTAAAAGAAATGAATAAACAAAGGAACAAAAAAAGCTAATGGAATGCTAACAAAGGAAATTTATGAAATTAATCTACAACAGGATTTGAATCTGATAATGTCAATCTCTTTCATGTCCATAATCAAATACCCTGGAACACCATTCAGATAATCTTATCTACGGTCAGTTTGTTATATGTCTTTTGACCCTGTGATGATGCTGATGCTATCATTGTTATGTTTCTTTTATCAATTCAAAGAATTTTCATTTTAGTTACTCAGACAGCGCTAAGACCTTCCAACACTGTATGCTGACCTGTGATCCATGCTGATCACTGCCATTGTTCACCATCGACACCGTTCCCTTCTTCTTGTGCTTAATTCTCGGCACTTTTTCTGCCTCGAAAAATCTAGCTTGATCACCATACAGCTGACTGAAAATATAAGTAGCAAACTTGTTACAAGACAAAGAAACATTAAAAGATAAGGTATGATAAATAAATGCTGCCAAACAGTAAATAAGCAATCTTTAAAATTTTTACATTGAGGCATTTCACAAAGGCTTTTTTGGGGGGGGCAGAGAGAGGTGTATTTGTAAGTTTTTAAATGCAGTATATAACACATTTCTAAGGCACAAAACAAATACAAATTTTTAATAGTAGGTTCTGTAAAAATAAGTTAATCCACACTGTAAAAATACAGTAATTCATGTCAAAAATTTCTCTTCCAAGGTACATGGAAAGCCACTAAATCTATGTGTAAGCTTAGTTCATCATACAGATAGGACTATGTATGGCAATATGAGATACACAGGATATGGCAAATTGTTAAATTATTCTCAAATTTTAAGTCCAACCCTCATACCATTCGTTTTTGTCTCACTCCATGTAACTGCTGGAGGGATGGTCAACACACATTTGCCCAAATTTAAGGACAGTGTTGTGTTTGTGTGTGTGAACTCATTTTGCTAAGCAGGCGTAGGTGTCTATGAAAAGAGGATTCAAATTAGACATCAGTTTCCTGGATAGCAATAACAGAAACTCCAATTTTGTGGACTTTAAACAGAACCTGCCACTCTCTCATCACCCTGTACTTCCCTATCTGCCATACCAGTGAGCCTCGGAAGACCAATCTTTATAAAAGAGCAGAGTATCAAAATAAACTTGATCTACCTGTCTGCAGAGGCGGGTCAGGAATGACAAGTTTACCCACCTAGACCTGCATCTGCTTAGCACAACTACACTGCCACCAGCATCACCAGAGTGGTGACCCACAGATCCATCTCTTCAGGGTTCTGTATAATAAGAGGCTGGCAGACCAGACTCACAGAAGTCAACGCTGGCCTAGTAACGCTGTCTTTGTTCAGACCAAGCTATTTATCTCTGTATGCTGCATTCCACAGAACTCCAGGCTTAGTTCTGCTCCGCAATTTTAAATCTACTTTCAAGAAAAATTTCCTAGGAATCGTGCAGAACACATGCACGTCCCTAACTTCCACCCTAACTGTTCGAATTATTTGTTCAACTTTTATGTGCACGACCACTGAAAATATATTAAAGAAGAAAGAAAAGTAATCTCCTCATACACATTTAACATGACTAAAATTAACTCATGTAAATTTTTAGAGCAACAGCATTACTTATACAGAAGAAATCAATTAAGCCTCCCACTCAGTTAAATACATTGTTACAAAAATAAAGTAGTAACAAACTACTAATGATTTCACCTTCTACAGATCACTTATACTACTTCTCTTACAAAACCAAACCTATAGTTACTTGCTAACTTTTACACAAACATAAATTTATGTACAACTTGTTAGTTGCAACCTCACTTCTAAGGTCAGAGAGAGAACACTGTGCAGAAAACAAATCTGAATTGTCAAAGGCAGCATAGGAATTAAAAAGGTATGACAAGCAAAGAACCTCATGCATCAAGGTTTTTACTTCCCATCAGCAACTCTGCCCCAAGAGAGCTGAAGACTCTAGTCTAGCTGGAAACCCTACTGCCCTATACAACTTCTCTATCAACTAAGTAACACAGAAGTTTTACTTGCCAAAATATGGATTCCCCTCCACGGCCAGTTCCCATGGGGTCACCGGTCTGTATAATAAAATCCCTCTGTCACAAAACAGAAAACATATGATATTGCTTTCATGTTTGTCAATTTAAACAAAACAAAAAGCACACAAAGAAAAGGAATTGTGACTACTCACCTGTACATTGTAAATAAGACAGTAGTTGTAGTACTTGACTTTGCAGAGCTTCAGAAAATTCAGACAGGCTGTAAGAAATTATACCAACATTTAGTAAAGAAAACCATAGATCTACTAAGTATAGATAAAACGGATATCCAGTTTAATGTGTAGGACAGTGTTTTTGGAGCAGACCCCGTTAAAAAGTATCGGCATACAACCTATAAACGCTGTGAGAAATGCTCCAAGGAGACATAACACCTTCTCCATTCCTAAAGCCCACCTCCAGCGATCCACAGAACCATACACACAGCTACCTGTACAAAACCACACATTTTTTCCCCCTCCAGTTTCTTTCCAAACACCTATGAAAAAAGACCACAGAGGCCTTTTGTTTTAGAATACAGTACGTGCTCTTTTTAAAAATCAATTGCTCCACAGTCCATTTTCGAGAAAGGTATCATTTTAAAAAAGAACCAGCAAGCTTCCAAAGGGGGAGTGACATCCCGAGCACTCCGAACGCCTGCGCGGCGGC